GTAATTAGTTTCTTTCTTCAAATTGTGCATCAACTACATTGGCTATGTGGACTTCTGAGCTGCCATTGATGCCGCTTGGTACGCAGCTTCTATTGTAGACAAGGACACCGTCAGTTGCCTCTTGCTGCCCCAAGATATCGCTGCCAACCCTATGCCCCAAGATATCGCTGCCGACCCTAAGTTGAACACATACATTTTATTGATCAGTGAGTTGTCAATAATTCCATCATCCACCGTACCCTTCACATATGGTAAAATGCACCGAACTACTTCCAGATGAGGCTTTGGTGGGCTCTATATAAAACTGCTCACAATTCCCAGTACATGAGCAATATCTGGTTGTGAAAGAGTCAAATAGCCTTTATAGCCTTACATTCACGCGCTCCATCCCAATGTTACTTCCCATTAATTTCAGCACGTGTCAAGATAGCTTTGCAGCTTGCCATCCCAAACTTATGTAACATGTTTGTTGTATACTTCTTTTGGCAAAGTAATAAGCCTTTTTTGGATTGGTTTATTTACAAGCCGAGAAAGTGATTAAGCTCCCCTAGCTCCACCTCAAACCTCACAGAAACGTTCCCCTGGATATGCTTGATCTCTAAACATCACCAGTGACAATCAAGTCATCGACGTAGACTAGCATAATTGCTACCTTTCTTGCTTGTTCTTTTACAAACAACCTGAATCTGCTGGTGGTACAATATGCTTGCTAAATACCAGGAATTTTGCAATCTTCTTGTGCCATGCTTATGAAGCCTGTTTCAACTCATACAAAGCCTTTTGCAGTTTGCACAAATGTTATAGCGTTTCCTTACACTCACCTACGTGGTAATTTTGTGATCTAGCTCACTGTGAAAAAATGTGTGCTTTAAGTTGAAAATAATCTCGAGAAAATTAAAGAAAAGAAAAGAAGAGAAGTAGAAGTAAGATATTAGAGCGTAGTAAGACAGAGAAAGAGAAGGAAGAAGAAAGAAAGGAAAAGAGAGAGAGATGTGAGAGAGAGGGAACGGAAGAGAAAGAGGAAGAGAAAGGAGAGTGGCGTATTGGTCAAAATAGACCAACATGCATCTCTTATTTATATTAATAAGATGACCTAATTATAATACTAACATATACGTCCTAAATAAAACAAAAGACATTTATACCTATCAAATACAAGAATATGTAGTTATTTCCAACACTCGCCCTTGAGCTGGTGCATAGATAACAATCATGCCTAGCTTGCTTGTGATATCTTGTAGTCTATTCCATCCAACAACTTTAGTGAAGATATCTGCAAATTAATATTTAGACTTCACATGAGGAGTATGGATGATCTTAGCAGCAACCTTCTCTTTGATGAAGTGACAATCTACTTCAATATTTTTAGTTCTTTTATGAAATACAAAATTCTTGGAAATATGAATGGCAGCTTCATTATCACAATACAACGCCATGTAAAGCTTAACTTTAACCCCCAAATTAAACATAATACTTTTGATTTAACATTACTTCAACTGTAGGAGCCATAACCCTATCTTCAACTTTCACATTTGAGATCTTGCTACCACATTTTGGTTCTTACTTTTCTAAGAAACCAGATTTCTTAAAACAAAAGTATAATAACCAGTTGTGGATATCCCATCTGTTTGGCATCTAGCCCAATCAGCATCAATATAAATAACAACATTAGAATGCCCTTGAGAGGAGAAAAATCTTGGAACGGACATGAGATATTTCAATATTCGATATACTTTATCAAGATGTGGTTTACGTGTTGCATGCATAAATTGGCTGGCCACGCTAACCGCATAAGAGATGTTTGGTCTTGTCATATGATTGTGAGGTGTGTGAGCTTTCCCACTATTCGTTGATATTGGTTAGGATTTTCGAGTAACTCTCCTTTCTCCATGAAGTTTATGATTGAATTTTATAGGAGTATCAATTGGTCTAGATCTCAACATCCTAGATTATTGTAATAGGTCCAACACACATTTTCTTTGGGAGATGGCTATCCCTTTCATTGATCTTGTCACTTCAATTTAAAAAAAAGCTTAATGAGGCCTAGATCTTTGATATCGAACACCTTGCTTAGATATGATTTAAGATCCTCATTGTCCTTTAGATTCTCCCTGTCACAACAATATCACCAACACATACTATAAGGGCTGTAATCCCAACACTTTTCGTCTTTATAAAGAGTGCATGGTCAATCTGACCTGTTTTAAACCCAAATTTCAGCAGGGCCTTACTAGATTTTTTCACACCACGCTCTAGGAGACTGTTTTAGTTTCTAAATTGCATTCTTTCACTTGCACATCTTTCCTATCTCCCCTTTAATCTAAAACCTTGAGGCATGGCCATATAGATTTCTTCTTGGATAATGCAAGAATGCATTCTTTACATCTATCTAGTAAAGAGGCCAAGATTCATTGGCAGCTAGAGAAAGAATGACCCGATATTGTTCAACATGGCCACAAAAGCAAACGTTTTTTGGTAGTCTATGCCAGGATTCTGAGTGAAGTCTTTTGCAATCAATCTACCCTATACCTTTCAATGGTTCCTTCAACTTTGTACTTCTCAGTGTATACCTATTGACATCCTACGCCCTTCTTCCCTTTAGAAAGGATGGTAATTTCTCATGTATTATTTTTCTCAAGTGCTTGCATCTCATCACCCATGACAGCAAGAGAGAATCCCCCTGATGAGGTGGGTTTGGGGATTTATATAGACAAGCTCCATACATGGGTTATTATCATTTGTTGGTTGGGTTGATGGGTGGAAAATCAAAGATTAAAATTCGGGTGAAGTGAAAAAAGACAAAATTGTACATGAACTTAAATTGCACATGAACTATGGATAAGAAGACAACCTAGGTCCCTAAAAATGGAGCGTCTTCCTATCCACATGGTATGCGGTCTTCATTTTGCACATTTCGGCAACAGGACAAATGATTGTCCATTGGAAACATGTAGATCTGACTGCCATGGTCATTTGGTGTCAAATTTGCTCAAAACCCCAAAGAGTTGGCGGATTTCCGGCTGTTTATCGATTTGGGAGTTCATGCTCTTCTCCATAAACTTGTTTTGATCGATTCTTTGTTGACAACTGCGAAAAAGAAGGGGGATCCGCTGGGATCATTTTGCATCAAGAACCGCAGAAAAAGACCCCGTTTGGCAGAAGGGTTCCTTGAAGTTGCTGGAACTCGAAATTGTGTCATCACCAAATCGACCATGATTTGCGCCTCGAATGACCCTCAATCTGTGCCCCGATTGTGGCTTGTCATATGCGATTGTGAAGCCCTTCATGTGACAATCAAAATGCTTGTAATTTTTGCCCAAGGTGCTGCACGGATGTGGAGTTATTGTGAAAATATTGTCAAGGTGTCTCATGGACTGTGAATTGCATAGCTATGAAAAACTGCCAACCTCTCTCTAAGATGTGTTCCAATCTGAGTGACCATCTTTTGCATATCGTATACCGAATGAAGAGCTCTCGGCAAGGGGAACAACATATCTGGATTTGAACGCGATCTCGATCGTTGTTTAAGAGAGACTGATGCGGTAAGCTTGCCCAATTTTGGGGCAATGTTGCAGGAAACTGCAATTCTTAGGGTTATCATGGATCACAAGACCTGCATAGTATGCATCCCCCTTTTTGAAAACTTGGGCCTATGGGCATCCGTTTTCCACAAAATTGGGGGGTTAAGGATTTTATGGCCTCCCAAATTCATCTGGGATGGTCCTGATGCCGTTGGAAGTTGATTTCAGGGACATTTCTGCAATTTGTCTCATGACCATACACGGGCTGTGTATGTTCTCCATTTCTCGCTTTTCTTATAATTTTTTTTCCCCAAACACTTGTTTGAGCTGAATTTTAGGGGATGCGTATTAAGGGCCATTTTTAGGCTTTTCCTGGGGCTAAATTGGGCCTGTTTCGAAGGCTTTTCTCCACGGTCCGTTACTCTGTGCTCCATGGCAGTCTGGGTTGAAGAGGACTCTATCGACCATGATTTTTATTGGGAAGACTCCAGCCGCAAGCACTTCATTGTTTGTTTCATTATCCCCCTTTCTATTGGGAAGACTGAAGCCGCAAACACATTGTTGAACTCTGGATGACTGATAGTAGCTTTCGAGGATGGATGTCAACAAATTTCATGGTTGACATCTGCAGAATGTCTGGTTGAGTGGATCACAATATCACTCCCTGTATCCCTGAATTTCTCGTCTGTTATACATTATGGCATCCTGAATCCTTTTCAGAAAGGAGTTCACTGCCAACACTCACAAAACTGGCAGTGCATGCTGGGTTCTGGTGAGCTCAAGATCTCGACGGCTGGATGGTTGTGAGCAGCTAAATAGTGCTATGATTTAGTGATCAAAGTGGCTTTAATAGACCAAAAAATTCACTAATGGAATACTTTAGCCATTGATAGTGAATTAGTACATGCTTTATCATGGATGCACAATATCACTGCAACATTTCATCTTTACATGTTTTGATAGTTGCATTTCGTTGTATATTAAAATTCTGGGGCCTCCAAGGAGCATCCCGCAAATCGATCTTTGGTTTTTGTGTGTTGAATGTTGAAGTAGGCAGGTTACTTTCTGAACCATTGATCTTTTGAATAATCTCTGTAGAAATCATTACTTTACTGCTATTTTTCTTCATGGCCTTACAAACATCGACATAGTTTGCATACGTGACATTGGTTCCCATTGAATAGAGCTGCATTCTTTAAATAAAATTTCATTTAATTAGCGGTTCCAAACTACGAGGGACATCTGCTACTGCGAAACGTACCGAGAAACACCTCAATTTACCAAAAATATATCAAATTTCATCAATGTGTCTGTTTTTAACAGTCAAAGGGGGCAAAAAAAAGGTTCTAATGCTTTTACTAATAAAAAAGAATTTCTTTTTACATTTTGAACTTGTGTTCTTGCTCATAAACTTCCTGCTGAGCTTGTTCCAGTGAATCTTTTGATATCATCCTAAGCATATATCATGGTCCTATGCAGGCAGTACCCCTCTTCCACTTCTACAAGAATGGAAAGCTCTTAGAAGCATTTCCAACACGGGATAAGGAGCGGATTGTTGCTGCCATCCTGAAATATACATCCCTAACTCCTCAAAACTTGTAGAGCCATTTCTCAACATGGCCTCATGCATCTCTCTCGTAAGGTTTCATATAAGCTTAAGTTATGATGAAAGCATCAAGGCTGTCAGATTGTTGAAGCTGGAGCTGCTAATGCTTTGATATGAGAGGCATGAATTGTATACGTGATTATTGGAGTTCTGACGTAATTACTCCATACACTAATAACTACATTCAGTTGAAGAAAGAGGAAAAAGGCAAGCTTTCTATGCTTCCCCTACAACATGAAACTTATATGCTTTCCCTTATCCAACCCTCCATTCTGAATGGAGGGCTAAGATTGCCCCAATCACAATGTCACATCTCTACACTATTTTCTTTTTAATTATTGACACCAAATTTTGGGTGTCCAATCCTCTATTAAACTCGCACTAATAAAAGTATATAAAAAAAATATTCCCAATAAAATAAAATGACTAAACTACCTTGAAAGTTTCAAGGGGTATTTTGGTCATTATATTCTATCGAAAAATTTATTTGAATATTTTTTATAGGTGCTCCCCAATGGGAATATGATATGTACTAAATTTTATATTCATACAATTTGTATTAAAAAAACTTAAAAATAAAATAGTCTAAGGCATTAGATATAGGATCAAACGGTGAGTGATTCACTCGATCAAAATTGGACGGCTGGATGGTAGGGGAAGCATAGATATTCTATGCTGTAGGGGAAGTATAGAAACCTTTCCCAAAGGGAAAACACTAGCAAAAACAGATATATAATTTATGTGGGAACATAGGGATAATGTCCTGGCAAATAGGACAGGACGAATTGGGTGCTCTATTGGCTTGTTGCTGGTATGTTGCAAGCTTACAAAAGAATTACAAGACATGCCTTTTACAGGATTCAGAACTTCAAGCTAGAGTTGATGGCATGATCATATGCAGGCATAAATGTTTTTATCTTGTAGCTGATTTGATGGATGAATATGTTGAGAAGTGCAAGTGAATAGGAAATTGGCTATTGGGAGATTTATATAAAATAATGGTTGGGTTGATTATTTTATATTGGGAGATTTATATAAAATAATGGTAGATTGATGCTATATAGATTGAAGCAGCAATGATATTCTGAATATATGGGGAATACATTACGCCATTATGAGTCTTTTTTTTTTTTTAAACTGTGTAATAATAGGTCAAGATGGTTTTTGAAGTAGTGGATTGATTGTGAGAAGACATTTAAGTTACCTGCAATGACCATGAAAAATATTCAGTGCAGAACACATCTTGAAGGGATAACAACGATGGAAGGAGGTTGAAGATATGAGCTGTGAATAATATGTTTTTCATTCTTTTTTCTTTTTGTTGGGTGGATCAGTAGGGATGATAGGCCCCTACCCGTTTTATTGAAGAAATAACAAAATATAGGGCCAATTACAAACATTTTACAACCCTTGTGAGGGGATTGGCAACATCATTTAATAACAAAGGACCTCGATCATCAAAGGGGCGAGCACACCACGCTGTTGCTTTTGTCATGGATACCGTATGCTTTTGTCATGGATACCGTATTCTTTGATAGATAGTCGGCAATCGTATTCTCCTCCCTATATATGTTAAGAATCAGCTACTGGTGGTTTGCACAGGAGAGACTTGCCTTGCAGCTAGCTGATACTACACAACTTCCATGGGCGTTCACATATCTGTTTCAAGGATTCCAGAAGCAGTGTGTTATTTTACTTTTACTCGAGCGCAATGACGGATGTTTTTGGTCTTTTAAACAGATTTGGACCATGAGTAGGCTGGTATGTTATAATTGTGGGGTCTCATGGAGAGATCGCATGGGATGAAGATATACTCACCTGGTGCCTAAAAAAAAATCACATCAGAAAGTGTTAAAAGACAACGTGGGGCTTAAACGTATGGGAAAACTTTCTTTACTTCCCCGCTATACAGGTCTTTTATACTTCCCTTCCGATCCAACCATCCAATTTAAATGAACGGCTGAGGTTACTTGTCTCAAAATGTAATAAGTAAGCCATTGACCATATAATCTTAGATCTGACATCTCATAGTATTTTATTTTTAATTTATTTTCAAATCATATGAATATAAAATTTGACATGTGTCATCATCTCAAAGCGGCTTGAGAGTTTGTGAGCCAGTACTGGGGAGAGAGAGAGAGATGGTATTTTGCTCTTTCGTAGAGAAGAGAGAAGAGAGAGATGGTATTTTGCATTTTGGTAGAGGGAGAATGGTATATTCATTTTCTAGAGAAAGAGAGTGATTGTGATGCTCTTTTGAAGAGAGAAATTGTGTTGCTTTTGTAGAGAGATAATAGTGTATGAATTTTTCATGGAGAGGGAGTTCCTATAAGTTTCTTGTTTTAGAGAAAGGAGGTATACGTTAACGTGGGTATTTGGATCGCTCTTCATGTTGAACTTATTTCGGAATTCTAGGATGACGAATCTGAATGGAAGGTCCTCCATGCCTCAGACTGGGGGTAAAACTTCGTGAATATGCATTCTTACGAGCATTTCTTTCATTGTTTTCATGGTGCTTTAGAATTGGGCATTCGGCATGATGGTAGGCCCACCGATTGGCGGCTTCCCAAGTATAGACTGATGAGTCAAGGCTTCGGGTATATATTGGCCCGTATGGACTTGAGATTGATGAGCTATAGTCATCGGGGCGGTTTGGTATACCCAGGCCTGGGGGACGTATTGTCCCATAGGTGTCGCCCGCAGGCTGCGGGAATTGCACGGTCTGTTGGACCAGATGGATTACTAGGACCAATTGAAGAATTGGTTGACTCGATTATCCTATGTGTTTTCCTATAGCATGAAGCTGATTTGGGACTGACACACGTATTGGGGCATGAACAATGTAGCCTTGTTCAACTAAACTTTGAAGGGCAGCTTGGACACCTACATTGCCTAGGGTTCAGTTCAGTTCGATAGCTCTATTTTGAGGTTATCATGAGCTGTACTATGGTGGCTTGCGGTCGGGTCAGATCCCTTAGATCTAAATGGGTCCCGGTTATCAAGTATTCGAGGCTGTCATGTCTCAAGATTGTCTTGATTTGAGTTATGAGAATAAGCATTTGACACTGTATGAACCGCTTCCCTCACTCGAATCTTACTTAGGGTGCCTAAGAGCTCTTGCAGGACGACCCCAGGTCGAACACCTTGACTATTCAAAGTCTTTTGGGTTGAGCTAGCTTTCCGAGCAAAACATATTTCAGGATTTGGAATCGATCTTTGAGACTCTGCCTCTAGTTGAAGACTTGGGCACCAAAAAATGATTTGACCACGGTTCTAGCCGTAATCCCAAGGGATTGTGGCATACTGGTTCCTAGGTTTGGGAATGTTAGGTTTGGAGACTGTGGAGCAATCATCATAGTCGACCTGGGTGATCGACATGACGACTTCTCCCTATTTGATCCTTGGATCTAGACTTAAGGCTGGACCTAGACTTCGACCTAGTTAGGCTGGATGGATTTAAGTTTGAATCCTGAACGGAGGTGAGCCCAACTTAATCCCAGAGATAACTTTAAGTTCAGACTAGAGTTGTTCAGACTAGAGTTAGGTCCTAGACTCGAGGTCTTGCTAGACTTAGTGGTTTTGGTTTGGACCCTAAACGAGGATGAGCCTAGTCTAGTTCTAGAGGCAATTCCGAATCTAGACATAGGTTAGGACCTAGACTAAAATTTAGATTAGATTTGGTGTGAGCCTTGACTTGCACCAAGAAGGAGCTTAGGTTTGGACCCAATTATGAACCTAGTTCGGACTTGGGTTGGGTTGGGTACAGGCCTGTTCTTGGACACAGATGGTTTCAGATTTTGACCGGGTGTGGACCTGGACTGAGATCTAGGTGAGATTTGGTGTGAGCTTTGGCTTGCACCTAGAGGGAGCCTAGATTCGGACCTGGTTGTGAACCTCATTCAGACATGGGCTGTGCTGAGTATGAGCATGGACTCGGACCCAGCATGGTTCAGTTTGGACCATAAGTGGATCTGGACTGAGATCTAAGACTAATAAACTCTGATAAGCAAACAAAGCACTTGAAAACTTTGCCATAAACTATGGGTAGGCTAGGTCTGAGTGGGCTCCTAATTACAAAAGTGCGGCTAGGCAGAGTGGGTCCCCACGTAGGTCCTGACCATCTGTTAAAGGAATCAGTCAGGTCCTACTGTATGTGGAGTTGCTTTGAGGCTAAGGATAACGGAGGGGTGCTTACTGTTAAAGTTATGCAAATTCCAACTGCCTTGGCTCTCAAGGCTTGGTTCCCCTCACGACAGTTAATGCCGGATTTTGAGGGTTTTCAAAACTTTTTGCTGGTGTCTCGGGCTTCTCCAGTCCATTATGCGCAAGGGTGTGTAAAGAAGCAAGAAAGTGAAAATAAGGCTAGCATGAAAACACACAAGAAAGAGATGTGAGCACTTGGTACAAATCATGCCCAGTGATGTGTGCTTTGAGTCGGAGTTTAACCGACCAAGAGCACAGTTCAGGTGTGGGGGTAAGCAACCCCCAAGAAGGTGTGCAGTTATAGAAAGTGAAACCAAGCACAATCCGTGCTTAGCCGAGTGTGGTCTGAGTCGAGGATGACTCGATCAGGGCATAGTCACATGAGGGTGGAAACAACCTCAATTTCAATATATATAT